TTATTAAATCCTCACCCCACTAGTACAGTTACTATTTATCAACATAGGGAGATATTACAGAACCACTGGCTGTATTCTCCATGCTCTACTACTATCCCTGGGATCAACTTATACTATGGTTGAGAATTTTTGTACCCCTTTATTCCCCTCACCCTCCCCACTCTAGCCCCTCCCCCATACTAACCACCAGTCACTTCTCAGTATCTCTGAGTCTACTGCTGTTTTGTTCATTTAGTTTTGTTTTGTTTTTAGATTCCACAAATAAGTAAAATCCTATGGTATTTGTCTTTCTCCATCTGGCTTATTTCACTTAGCATAATGCCCTCTAGGTCCATCCATGTTGTTGCAAATGGCAGGATTTCTTTCTTTTTTATAGCTGAATACATGTACATGTACCACCTCTTCTTTATCCATTCATCTATTGATGGACACTTACATTGCTTCCATAACTTGGCTACTGTAAATAATGCAGCAGTAAACATAGGGGTACATACATCTTTTCAAATCAGGGATTCTGTTTTCTTTGAGTAAATTCCTAGAAGTAGAATACTGGGTCGAATGGTATCTCTATATATAGTTTTTTGAGGGACTCCATACTGGTTTCCATAGTGGCTACACCAGTTTAAATTCCCACCAACAGTTTAGGAGGGTTTCCTTTTCTCCACATCCTCCCCAACACTTGTTATTTTTTTGTCTTTTGGATAGTGGCCATTCTGACTAGTGTGAGGTGATAGCTCATTGTGGTTTTGATTTGCATTTCCCTGGCGATTAGCAATGTGGAGCACCTTTTCATGTGTCTGTTGGAAATTTTCTTTCCTGCTCTGTATTTTCTTTGGAAAAAAGTCTGTTCAGGTCCTCTGCCGATTTTTAATTGGGTTATTTGGTTTTTTGGTGTTGAGGCATATGAGTTCTTGATATATTTTGCATGTTAACCCCTTACCGGATAAAGCATTTACAAATACATTCATAAGTTGTCTTTTCATTCTGCTGATGTTGTCAGAGGACATACTGTTTTAATAAAGGGCTCATACAGAGCCTATAATTCACATAAATTACTAGAAGTTAGCTATTTTCCTCAGACTGGAGAAGATTATAGAATATCAGAATTTAGCATTGCTAGGAACCTTGTGATAGTTCTAACCTCATATACCCCTTATGAGAACTCCTTTATTTTTTTTTTGATTACTTTTTTTTAAATTTTGGTATCATTAATATACACTTACATGAGCAGCATTGTGGTTACTAGATTCCCCCCATTATCAAGTCCCCACCACATACCCCATCACAGACACTGTCCATCAGCGTAGTAAGATGCTATGGAATCACTACTTGTCTTTGTGCTATACTGTCTTCCCTGTGCCCTCCCCCTGCATTATGTGTGCTAATTGTAATGCCCCTTTTTTCCCTTATCCCTCCCTTCCCACCCATGAGAACTCCTTTAACAGCATTCTTACAGTGGGTCCTCAACCCATTGTTGGAACTCTAGAGATACAGAGTTGACCCTCCCATGGTAGGTAGTATTTGAGAAGGTAGATACATATTAAGTTCAGATCTGCCTCCACTGGAATTCTCTATTGGCCCCTCTTGTACCCTCTGGAGCTACATGGACAATGGCTATCTTTACCTCTTCTATGTGGAACTTCATAAAAATATTGTCATGCCTCAAAGCAGCCAGAAACTTAAAAAGGTCCAGGCCAAGATAATAATTATATTCCAAATGTTCCTGGATTTGTTCTTCAACAAACATTTGTGTCCCTGCTGCATACTAGGTTCTATTCTAGGAGTGGAAAAAATATAAAGCTTATGTTATGTAGCTTAGGACAAGTAGCATAATAGAGATGAACTCAGAGTAGTGTGTAGCCATGGTTATTGGGAGAGGAGGATGAGGGAAGACAACTGAGGGAATACCTCCTCTCCTGGAAAAGTTGAAAAGTGACTGGATACCTGAACCAAGCCTCAGATGATAGATAAGATGGAGGCAAAAGAGCACATACATCATTCAGGGAACTGAAGGAGGTTTGGAAGAGTTCCGTAGGACTAGAGCCAAGGCAAGATGGGCTGTGGATGGAGGTGGACTTTCTTCTGAGATCTGTGGAGAGCTATGGAAGGGTTTTAATTGGAGAGTTGTATACGTATGTTTTACATAGGTCACAGATATTTGTTACAGAAGAAAAAATTAATAAGTTGAAAGGAAAATCATACATATCCCACTTAGAGATGATACCAAAATTGGATCTGACTGTTACTTATTTTGTAACCTGCTTTTTTGTACATAACCTTTCTTGTTGGTATATATCCACACCATTTTCATTACTGCATAGTATCAGCTATTTTGGATGTACCACAATTTAGATAATTCTTCCTTTTTGATAAAGTTTTTAGTTTTTTTCACTACTATAAAAAATGTACATATATCTTTACATTTTTCTGGGGTTTTTTTTCCCAACCAATTCTTTATTTTCATGGTCCAGTAATTTTACAAACGTGTTTGAATCAATTTCCCACCACATGGTATGTCTTTTTTTTTTTAATTTTGGCATCATTAATGTACAATTACTTGAACAACATTATGGTTACTAGACTCTCCCTATTATCAAGTCCCCCCCCCACATACCCATTACTGTCACTGTCCATCAGCATAGTAAGATGCTATACAATCATTACTTCTCTGTATATACTGCCTTTCCCATGTCCCCCCCCCCACTACATTATGTGGGCTAATCATAATGCCCTTCGTGCCCCTTTTCCCTCCCTTCCCACCCATCCTCCCCAGCCCAGTCCCTTTCCCTTTGATAACTGTTAGTCCATTCTTGGATTCTGTGAGTCTGCTGCTGTTTTGTTCCTTCCATTTTATCTTTGTTCTTATACTCCACAGATGAGTGAAATCATTTGGTACTTGTCTTTCTCTGCCTGGCTTATTTCACTGAGCATAATACCCTCTAGCTCCATCCACGTTGTTGCAAATGGTAGGACTTGTTTTCTTCCTCTGGCTGAATCCATCTACTGATGGACACTTAGGTTGCTTCCATTTCTTGGCTATTGTAAATAGTGCTACAATAAACATAGGGTGCATATGTCTTTTTCAAACTGGGCTGCTGCATTCTTAGGGTAAAATCCTAGGAGTGGAATTCCTGGGTCAAATGGTATTTTTTTTTGTATCATTAATCTACAATTACATGAGGAACATTATATTTACTAGACTTCCCCCTTCACCAAGTCCCCCCCTCCACATACCCCATT